AAGTTATCCCTTGGACCCCCCCCCCCCCCCCCCCCCCCCAAACCCTGCAAGGCAGTGCGACCCTCTTGGCCCCCATCTTTCAACGATCTAAGGTGATAAAGGCAACGTTAGTGTGTGTGCACTCTGCACCTCCTTATTTTCATCGTTTCGACTTATCATCTTAATCGATCTCAAGTAAATCAAAATTATACCAGATGATTAAGAACATTGAAATTATCAAAATAACAGATAAAATTAATTTTTATTTTCATGTTTTTAAATAGAGAAAAGATTGAAGCATTGCCAAGTGGTTGACAATTTTCCCATTGAGTTCATATAGCAAGATCTTTTAATGGGTTGATTGTAGAGTCCGTAACCTTTTTTTAGATTTTGCATATTTTCCTCTTCATTTCTCATTTTGTATCTCGAGATTCACATGATTATACTATCTCTTAAACAGATGAGCCACACGGGTCTAGTTAGGGGTGTTCAAAAACCCGACCAATCCAGCATAACCCAATGCGAAATAACTCAACCCGATAGCTAATTAAGTTGTAAAATTTTCAAACAGTAGGTATTGGGTTATTATTCTTTGAACCCGACCCAACCTGATGAACCTGATATTCTTTTATTTCTTGGATTGAAATGATTGTTGAGTTTCCATTAATATGTACATTAAACAATTACATTATCGCACACTCTCTTCATATACACATATTTTCAATCTATCATCCATCTCTATACAACTCATTCGTGTATATATTCAGTAACTGTGAACATATATATATATATATATATATATATATATATATATAGGAGTGATCATATGAAAACCGCTCTCATTTGTGTAAACCACCTTCATCTGTCGATTTCATTGTTTAATCTTATGAAATTTTTTCATGAAATTGTTTAATCTTGTGAAATTGTTTCATATAATACTTTTTTTGATGAAGTTGTTTCATATATGGTTGTGAAATTGTTTCATATAATACTTAATGAAACTGTTTCATGTATTTCTCTAACATTAATTAAACTGTTTCATGTATTTCTCTAAAATTAAAATAATGAAGATGATAATATCTATGATTAACACCATCCACAATAAAAATGATTAATCAACCTCTCATAATTACAAAAAAATGAACAAAATGAAAAATTATGATTGGTTGAATGCGGTTTGCACGGTTTGTACAAATTGAGTGGTTTGCATTTGATCGCTCCCCTATATATATATATATATATATATATATATATATATATATGTAAGTTGAGAAAATTAATTGAATGTGAATATGATATACGTGAAATTTAAAAAGTATGGATAAGTTCTATCAAATGATTGATGATGAAAAAAAAAATTATGATAGAAAAATAACAAATTTAATGTTAAAAGAATATTTTAATATACCAATGTATCAACTTGACCAACCCAGTATGTTTTTAATTTTTTTTTTAAATTTTGTTAGTAAAAAAATCAAAAAATAAAAAGGTAAAAAGTCTTTGTAGTGATTAGCAAAAGCATGTGAAAAAGAATCAAAACCAAGAATTCCGCCCAAATTCATGCTTCTTCAACAATTAATGACTTTGGATAAATTCAATATTTTTTATTTTAAATTAAAAAACATTAATATTTTGTAACTTTTTTTAGAACATATAACATTTATATACGACAAATGCAATAAATAAAATTATACACATCCCTCATCTTTGGTGAGTTTTGAACCCCTTACTTTTTAGAAGACCAAAGACAACAATACTGCTAGACCAAAAACCCTTTGGTAAAATTTTGGACGTTAATATAACATATTTGATAATATTAGTTTCTTTGATGACTTTTTGGTACTTCTTTCTATAAATATATACTTCAAATAATTAATAATGGTTAATTTTTTTTTTTCAAAATTACAACAACGTTCTAAAAAATTGCATGACGCGAGTAGTGGCGGATCCATGACTTTTGCTGAAGGTGGATCAAAGACCTGGAAAAGTGTCTGATTTTTTGTAGAAAAATGTTGAACGGGTTCACGGGAGCCTGCTTGGGGGCTTTATAGGAACGAGTCTCTAATACCACATTAATTCTTGTAACGGTTGTCTAAGTTGTACGTCAGGGTGTCTTGAGACGTGTTATGGTGCGAGTGTATTTAATATGTTATTTATCTTTAATCAATTTCTTTTAACAAAATTTTTAAAATTTGTATCCCTCTTAACATACTAAAGCTTAACATTAATTAATATTAACATAGGGCAAAATGCATAAAATAGCAATCTACTTTCATAAATTTCTTTATTATAGCATTGTACTTTCAGTTTTTCTTATTACAGCAATGTACTTTCAAACTATTTTTTATTAGGATATTGTACTTTGAAAAATTTACCCATTATAACATTGGGTAACCGTTTGATTTAACTTTACCCATTATACTAGGTTTTCATGTCACCTCATTGTCCACGTAGGTTGTCCACATGTATTATAGTGATGTGACTTTCTTAATACATAATTATTTACTTTCAAAATTATTTTATTATAGCATCTTCTAGTTCTTATTAAACACTGTATTTTTAATTTTAATATTTAGATATTTTACATGTTATTTAATAAATATACTAAATGAATTAAAAAAATTTAAATTATTCATTAATATACCAATATCAATAAAACTAGTAGAACACAACTTATCTCGCTAATATTTTTTAAAAAAATATGTGTTTTTTGAAAAAAGAAAAATAAGAATTGTTCATTTTTTACCAAAAAATATTATCTTTTAAAGAATATGTTATATTTGTTCAAAAACTTTTTACTTGACGTATAAATATATTAAATTAATTAGATTTTTTTGAATTATTTATTAATATAACAATATTAAAAAA